AAGCAAAATCTCTTTGATTTCATAGTTGTCTAGAGGAAACAATGGACAAACTAAAGGGAAAGTATGTGGCATAATTAACCTTGGTCTACAACCTTAAACAATCCAGTGTCACCATTTGTGCCAGACAAGAATGACACCTCAAATTGTGCAGCTTGTCGAGGAGAGGTGTGATATTATTTTTCTAAGCAATCGGACTTGCTATTTTTATATGACGATAAAATTACGGTGGCGACTTTTGCACAAACTTTTTTCTTCTGAAAATGTTCAAATGTTGTTAATGATTTTCCTACATGGTACTGTTGCCCAAAGTTTGATTCACTTTAATTGGTTTCAATTTAAATTGAGTTAAATTTTAAAACTGAGTTTTGAATTCAAAGGAAAAAGTATGTGTCTGAATCAAAGCATCATAGATGCATCATCAAACATCCATGCAGAACCCCATTCTCCAAGCCTTAGATTTGAGACCTAAAAGACCTTCACTGTCCTATTTTCAAAAGGTTTCCCATGACACCTGAAGGCCATTTATCATTTTTACAGATTGCTTGCGCTGTACAACTTATCGCCTGTGACAGCCCTACTTCACTACCTACTTCTCTGGCCTATTTTCATACACTATGATGGTCAATGTCAATGCAGCAGCCTAGAGTGTCCTAGCAATGTATTTTTCATCAGTTCACTATAGTATAGCTCCATTCTATGCTACTGGCGTAATGCACAGATTCACAGTAGCTCAAAAATAACCCATGTGCATGGGACAAATACAGATTTTATTTGTGATTCATGTATTTCTAGATACAAATTGTTGTCTTTAAGCTCTCCTTGAGTTTTGTCATTGGTAAAAGTGTCTGGCTCTCATGAAAACTGGTGTTGGTAATGAGGAAGCATTCATTTCCTCTCTCCTGCTGCAGTCTCTCAAGTCTCCTTTGGCTTGGTTCTTTCTTACGGCCGGTCCCTTAGTGGAAGGGCTGTTTATTTTTAGGTGAGCTGGAAACCTACTTTAGCACTTGGTGCATAAGCGAGCTGGTCACACTCATATGGCCAGTCCTACAAAGACGCACAGCAATGCGAAGTGTATTCTTTTGCCATTTTTAATTCATATTCAACAATGCATGCTTTGATCTCAACCCCCTGTTGACCTCTTAGAGTGTTTGCTTATTGGCGGAAGCATAAATTCGTAATGTCTCACATCCTATGAATATAGACATATGAGTCCACAGTAAAACGGGAAAAATCTATGCAGGTGTGTTTTGAATATTTCTGGACTGTTGCTAGATGGTTGCGAGAGCTTTGCTAGATTGGCCAAATTCAAGAGAACCAAAGCACACATTTTGAGAGTGGTTTCCAGGGCTTAATAAGGGGTTCAGAGGTGTTTTAGCATGTTGTGCAGTTGCCAGGTTGTTCATAGTATTTGCTAGGTGGTTACTTACTGACCCAAATCAAGAGAACCCACTCTGATTTTTTATGGCTGGTTGCCAAGACATTGTTTGTGGTTGCTGAAGTGTTCTGAGTGTTTTTGTGTGTTGCTATGTGATTGCTAGGGTGTTCAGAATTCACAAGGGTTACTTACCGTCCCATATGTGTAAAAAAAAAAAAAAAAAGTAATTCCCAGGGGTTTTATATCATGGGGTTTGTGTTTTTTATGGCTGGTTGCCAAGACATTGTTTGTGGTTGCTGAAGTGTTCTGAGTGTTTTTGTGTGTTGCTATGTGATTGCTAGGGTGTTCAGAATTCACAAGGGTTACTTTCCGTCCCATATGTGTAAAAAAAAAAAAAAAAAGTCATTGCCAGGGCATTGCTATACATGGGTTTTGGTGCATTCTTATGCAGTTGCTAAGGAGTTGCTTGGTAGTTGCTTTCTAGTCCAAATCAATAGAACTCATCCCAGATGTTTGGGGACTGGTTGCCAAGATGTTGCTTTGTGGTTTTCAAACCGTTTAGAATATTTTTGTGTGTTGCTATGCCGTTTCTAGGGTGTTTAAAGTGGTTACGTTTTACCATGTAAAAAATAAAAGTTTGTGGGTTGTTCCCAACGTGTTACTATGCAGTTGCTCTAGGTGCTCTGAGTGGGTTTTGGTGCATTGCTATGTGGTTGCTAGGGTGTTCAAAGTGGTTGCTCATTGTTCCATGTAAAAAAAACATTTTTTTAAAGTTGCTGCCAGGGCATTGCGATGCAGTAGATATGAATGTTCTAAATTGTTGCTAGGGTGTTGGTTACTTAACGGTCCAACTCAACAGAGCTCCTCCTGAAGTTTTGTGGGTTGTTGCCAGGATGTTGCTATGTAGTTTCTAAAGTATTTTGAGTGTTTTGTGCATTGTTATGTGGTTAGGGTGTTGCTTGGTGTGGTTACTTAAAAAACAACCCCAAGTTTTGTGGGTTGTTCCCATGGTGTTGCTATGCGGTTACTCTAAGTATTCTGAGTGTGTTGCTGTGCAGCTGATAGGGTGTTCAATAAGGTTACTTACTGTGCCTTGTTTTAAAAAAAAAGTAAAAATTGAGTCATTGACAGGGCTTTGCTATGCAGTTGTTCTGAGTGGATTTTGACGTATTTAAAGGGTGTTTAAAGTAGTTAGTAGGGTATTGATAGGTAAGTTTTGCCTCTTTGTCACCATCTGTGTTTGAAACCTGCAATTGCAGTTATTTGCGGAAATATTTTCTTTACGTGGGTTGTGTATCGGCACGGCTCCTCAGCACGGATGAATCTAATGTTTTGAGCTAGGTTTATGTGTGGGCTGTCAGTCAACGCACCAGTGAGGATATTTACTGTACTTCAGAATTATACTACGTCTTGGAAGTAAATCCAAAATAATAAGTTTCACCGGAAAATCTCATCTGAACAAGTAACATGTCTGCCAGTTTTGTTCTGACCAACCTAAAAAAAAAAAAAGTTTCACAATAAATTGCACTACCAATGGTGATTAAATCTAACTATCACAAAGTAAGCTCAGATCACGTCAAACCGTGCAAATTATCATTATTGTTATACTTTGATTTCAAATTGTTAATGTTAACATCAACACATGATTTTTGAATTTCTGTACAGTAATCTGTAATTGTCATACCATTCGAATGTCATCGAAAGAAATTGTTCTTTTAACCTCAAAAAAGCAATTTAATTTTCCTTAGAACTCGTTCTCTTTGAAATACAAATCTTTTGTAAGTACAGTGTAATCCCACATATCTGTAATCAGATCATTCAGATGCACATTTAAAATTATAATCTAATTTCAGTTACTTACATGCGTTTCAGTACCATCATGCACCGTTTAAAACTCTATTCTCAAAATGACAAGTTGCTGTAAGAAAAGGCTACAAATGATCCACCACCTGCAGCATCAACACACACAATAGCCGGGACTCCTTCTTTGTGAATATACAGACGTGACGTAATGACGCAAAGTGAATGATCTGAACCACTCAAATTAGAAAACATTATTATGAGCTTACCGTTGGGAATCAGACTAAGGTAAGGAGATCGTTTTGAACACTGATTTATTATGTACTTGCTTTGCAATTTATTTAGGATATTTGTTAACCAAAAAAAGATATGTAATGCAGCTTTAACAAACAAAAACATCCCCAAATTTTTTGGAGTTGTTTCAAGGGAGTTGCTATGCAGTTGCTAAGAATGTTCTGAGTGGGTTTTGGTGCATTGCTTTGCCATTTCTAGGGTGCTCTGAGTGGTTACTAGGGCATTGCTATGTGGTTGCTAACCTGCCCAAGTCAGAAGAGTCCCTTTGATATTCTGATCCGTAGTTTTGGGTTTATTGTCTACCAGATAAGAAGTCTGAAGCTTAGAAAATTATTTGCACACCATTATTAGCACAGTATAAGCAATAATAATAGGGATGTTTGCCTTAGAAAACACTACTATTAATAATTTAATGCATTGTGTTTATAGTCTCACATATGATCTAATAATTTTGTCTTCTCTCTTCAGTCTGTGAGCCCCTTCCCCTGCGCTACCTGGAGTGGAGTCATCCTGAATCCATCGCGGCTGTCGTCTTTTCATGTCTGGGCATCCTAGTGACCAGTTTCGTCACCTTCATCTTCATACTGTACCGAGACACGCCAGTCGTCAAGTCCTCCAGTCGTGAACTTTGCTACATCATCCTGGCTGGCATCTTCCTGGGTTACATCTGCCCCTTCACTCTCATCGCCCGTCCCACCATAGCCTCGTGTTACCTGCAGCGCCTCCTCGTGGGCCTCTCAGCCTCAATGTGCTACTCAGCTCTCGTCACCAAGACCAACCGCATCGCTCGCATTCTGGCCGGCAGCAAGAAAAAAATATGCACGCGCAAACCACGCTTCATGAGCGCCTGGGCGCAAGTGGTGATCACATCCATCCTGGTCAGTGTGCAACTTTCTTTAGAGGTCACATTGATCATCTTGGAGCCTCCGGAGCCCATAAAGTCCTACCCAAGTATTCGAGAAGTTTTCCTAATATGCAACACCAGCAATTTGGGCATGGTTGCACCATTGGGCTACAACGGCCTGCTCATTCTCAGCTGCACCTATTATGCGTTTAAAACTCGCAACGTCCCTGCCAACTTCAACGAGGCCAAGTACATCGCCTTCACCATGTACACCACCTGTATTATCTGGTTGGCCTTTGTGCCAATCTACTTTGGCTCCAACTACAAGATCATCACCACGTCGTTCTCCGTGAGCCTCAGCGTGACGGTGGCTCTCGGCTGCATGTTCACTCCAAAAATGTACATAATTATCGCCAAGCCCGAGAGGAACGTACGCAGCGCATTCACCACCTCCGATGTGGTGCGCATGCATGTGGGCGATGGAAAAATTGCTTGCAGGAGCAACAGCCTGCTAAACATGTTCAAACGCAAGAAGAACGCATCTGGAAATGCCAAGTAAGTAGCTCAGCGGCATTAGTGCAGTCTCTCTCCATCCTGTTGCGTTAGAGCCCATGGGTCCAGTCCTGTTATTCCAGCTTCTCTCCAGATCTTAAGATCATGCCAATTTCAGGAGCTTCTTCAATTAACGGCTCTCTCAGACATCTTGTGATTTGCAGGTCAACTACAATTAAAACCTGCACACCCAGGGGCATCTGAGCAGCACGGCTGGGGGAGACTGAGAGACTATAGTAGTTTTAGATGTATGTAATGGCAAAGAGCAAGAATTATTATTGTCCCACTACCAGTTATTGAGTTGCTGGGTGGTATGATGGTGTATATTAGATAATGGTAGAAATTTGTCAACTGTTTATTGAAAATTTTATACCACAGCCACAATAGATATATTTGTGGTATTTACACATGAAACATAGAGTAATGCAAAAATAGAGACTTGTTCCAAACAAGGCCAAAATCTTTGGGCCTAGTTGTTTTACGGTTGTGACTTGTTGCATAAGTATATCACTGTTTTGCAATGCCTGTGGTCAGAGTTGCAACTATTTGTTTTATAGTATTAGTCTTTTGTTTTAATAATGTGAAGCTGTTTCTGCAGTGATGCCAGACTAATTAATTTGTTATGAATCATCTGGTCTTTTGGTCTGAGTCTAAATCTTTTCCAGATAAAATGTGAGAATGAGATAAAAATGTATATTTATTTGTGATGTATATTGTGGTATAAAGTGTGGTCCAAACATTTGAGATCACTAGAAAAAATCTTCTATTTTGCTATGTTTTAATGTAATATTTTATATTTAAATATATTATTTTAAAATGTTTAAATATTATATTATGCATTTGGGATTACTGATTATGGATGGTTATTTAAAATAAATATTTTTGAAAATTATATTACTAACAATTTTTGAGTGAAAAGTTTATTTGAATTTTTACACAAATTCAGAATCTTTTACCATTTAGTTTTTCTGTTTGCTTTAATGACAGCAGCACTGGAGCTGAAATGAACAAAACCTGATGATCATGTTCTCCGGCATGATTTGAGATCATAAAAAGCATCTTTAGCTTCATTTGGAAGTAAATCTGACCATCGTTACAAAGAGTCACATGAGCAGTGACACTCATTTACTCAAAATACTTTTGATTAGTCTAGTCTAGAAATAGTAAAGGATTTGAATTTTTTCTCCATTAATTGTATAAGTTTATGTGTAAAATTCTACATTTTCAAGTTGGCCTTAGACTTTTGGACCTCACTTTAAACTGTTACTTTGGGCATTAGTGCAGTCTCTCTCCATCCTGTTGCGTTAGAGCCCATGGGTCCAGTCCTGTTATTCCAGCTTCTCTCCAGATCTTAAGATCATGCCAATTTCAGGAGCTTCTTCAATTAACGGCTCTCTCAGACATCTTGTGATTTGCAGGTCAACTACAATTAAAACCTGCACACCCAGGGGTATCTGAGCAGCACGGCTGGGGGAGACTGAGAGACTATAGTAGTTTTAGATGTATGTAATGGCAAAGAGCAAGAATTATTATTGTCCCTCTACCAGTTATTGAGTTGCTGGGTGGTATGATGGTGTATATTAGATAATGGTAGAAATTTGTCAACTGTTTATTGAAAATGTTATACCACAGCCACAATAGATATATTTGTGGTATTTACACATGAAACATAGAGTAATGCAAAAATAGAGACTTGTTCCAAACAAGGCCAAAATATTTGGGCCTAGTTGTTTTACGGTTGTGACTTGTTGCATAAGTATATCACTGTTTTGCAATGCCTGTGGTCAGAGTTGCAACTATTTGTTTTATAATATTAGTCTTTTGTTTTAATAATGTGAAGCTGTTTCTGCAGTGATGCCAGACTAATTAATTTGTTATGAATCATCTGGTCTTAGTCTAAATCTTTTCCAGATAAAATGTGAGAATGAGATAAAAATGTATATTTATTTGTGATGTATATTGTGGTATAAAGTGTGGTCCAAACATTTGAGATCACTAGAAAAAATTTTCTATTTTGCTATGTTTTAATGTAATATTTTATATTTAAATATTTAAATATATTATATTAAAATGTTTAAATATTATATTATGCATTTGGGATTACTGATTATGGATGGTTATTTAAAATAAATATTTTTGAAAATTATATTACTAACCATTTTTGAGTGAAAAGTTTATTTGAATTTTTACACAAATTCAGAATCTTTTACCATTTAGTTTTTCTGTTTGCTTTAATGACAGCAGCACTGGAGCTGAAATGAACAAAACCTGATGATTATGTTCTCCGGCATGATTTGAGATCATAAAAAGCATCTTTAGCTTCATTTGGAAGTAAATCTGACCATCGTTACAAAGAGTCACATGAGCAGTGACACTCATTTACTCAAAATACTTTTGATTAGTCTAGTCTAGAAATAGTAAAGGATTTGAATTTTTTCTCAATGAATTGTATAAGTTTATGTGTAAAATTCGACATTTTCAAGTTGGCCTTAGACTTTTGGACCTCACTTTAAACTGTTACTTTAATGGTTGATTTAAAGAGAGAGTATGGAAGTGATTGTATGTTGACCAGGGTCCAAAATTAAGACTTGCCAGGTACGAATTGCACATAAAATTTTGCCAGTATGCCTTTCACAGTTTCACATAGATATGGAGAAGCTTGTGTACCATCTACTTATTTTAAATGAGCCAGTGTTATTTTAATATTATAGTTTTTATAAAAAATAAATCGTTTTTATATTTTGTTTTAATTTTAATTTTAGTTAAAGTTTTAGTAATTTTGTTGTGTTTTTGTCATTTGTATTATTATTTTTTCTTTAAATATATCCTGTATGGTTTATATGAATTTCTATTTCGGTTACTTTAGTGTGTGTGTTTTTTTTAATGGTTTTACTTTTAGTTAATGATAATAACCCAGAAATGAACAATAAAACTGTTTAATGGCTGGTAAATTCACCTGCAATTGGCAGGTGTGGCAAAAAAAGTTAATTGATGTACTATTCCAGTTTTAATTAATATTTTGAATTCATTTTCATTTTAGTTTAATTTTGTTTTTGTCATTTTTATTAGTTTTTTCTTTAATTGTCTATATAGCTTTTATTGATTTTAATTTTAATTTTAGTTAATTTAGTAAGTCAAACTAAATGAAAATTTGATGTTGTCTTGACAACCAGCTGATAAAAAAAAAGTTTATTACATTCGACTATCATTTATTTATTTAATGTTTCTTTATGTTTTTAGTTTTAGTTAACAATAAGGTAAAATACAGTTTAACGTCCTGTAATTTTTCTCAATTCACCCGCAATTGGCTGGTGTGGCAAAAAAGTTAATTTTGGACCTTAATGTCAGTGCTGGATTGAGTAAAAGCAGGAACCAAACGTGTAGGTGCTCTTGATTTGTGTCACTATATCTTGCTTTAGTATGGCAGCAGTAGTTGACATGAAACCAACACCAGTCATTGTGATGCTGTATATTCTGAGCCGTTTATGTTTTTCATAATAGATCGAATCATCTAAAGGACTAGCAGAAAATAACCACTGTAGCAGAAAATGAAGATTTAGGAATTCAAACAATGTGCAGCAACTCTATCAGTGACAATTTAACGTGTTTAAGGTATTTTATACAATCATGACTTTTATAAACTACATTTTAAACGGAATCTATATTAAATAAACATGATCATCAAACAGTTTTAAGTCTACATTACAGCATTAAATCACGCAGCATATGTATGCAGTAAACTACAGCAAGTGTAGATAACAAAAAAATGCCTAGTAAATTTATTAGCAAAATGTAGCAAAAGTTTTTAAGTGCCAATGTCAAAACCGCTGTATTTTTTCATGGTGTATTGTTTTTAATGTACTTTTTGTATAGTTTGTGTGTTTAAAGTACAGTAGGAAGTGTATATATTATTTTTCTTCTATTTATGTGATTGTTATGTTTTTAATAATGTAAATATATATCATATATCTCTAGATTTAGATGGTCATGACATAAAGCTAGAGTTTGTATTAATACATTGACTTTTCCATTAGACATTATTACCTGTATTTGGTAGCTTATCTTACTTGTTGGTTAAATGTTTTTATATCAGCTCCAAATACTTATATGCTTCATATAGTCAGTGTGTTAATGAAGATTCAAGATCCCCTAATGCTCAGCAGGGCCACCGACGACAGTTTCACCAGAATGTACCACGAGTCCTCATATGAAGACAGTTATATACTCTTGTTATGACCATTTAAATCCTATATGACATGACGGTTACTAAATTATTATGGAATTTTAAGCAGTTATAGAAGATTGTATTCAGGTAACTTTTTAGATATTATCTGAAATGATTATGCTTTAAGTTTTCTTTTTTTTGTTGTTGTTGCAGTGCAATATGTGTTGTCAGATTGCATACTGTAGTCTATACTTCAGCTTTAAGAAAACATTTGTGCTATTATATTTTTTAAAACAATCATTTATTGCATACTGTATGAGCCTAGAAGTAGCTATCTTACGATAAAACTACATGTTTCTACAGATGACATTTAGTTCTGCTGTATTTTGTCAGGAGCTGTTTAGCTTATTTTAGGTGAGCATGTTTTATTAGGTTTATGATAAATACTGTATATTTTGTAAATAAGCTCTCAGGGTTGTTGCTGCAGTGTTTAGTTAATAATTTCCCAAAATGTGACCAGTTATTGCTTTCATATGACCATGTTAAAGAACCGTCTTCAACACCTGTGTGTCTCACTGTCACTTTATGCACGCTTTGCACTTGAAACACTCAAACTTTGACCTTTGATTTAACTTGTAAATTCTGTGTTACTGTTTTTAATGCTGGAAACGGTCTGTGTTGTTGGTAGCATGGTTGGAAAACAGGACAGGGATTTAACCGGCAGAATAAATTAGAACTAGGTCATTTACTGCAGATGCGATTTGTTATCGCTATCCAGGAAAATGTCAAGAGACTCAGAATTAGGATTCACTGAACATTTATTTAAAGTTTTGGTGATTGGAGACCATAAAGTTGGGAAAACCAGCTTTGTTAAACGATTTGTGAAAAATCAATTCTACGAGGAGTTGAAAACGACTATAGGTGTGGATTTTTCTATGAAGGTGATAGACTGGGACAGTCACACGCGGGTGCGATTTCAGCTGTGGGATATAGCAGGTAAGTCTTTGTTTAAAGGGGTCATACGATGTTGCTAAAAAGAACATTATTTTGTGTATTTGGTGTAATGAAATGTGTTTATGCGGTT